ACTAGATTCGTGACCTTGGGGTGATAAAAGAAACAAAGCATTGCCTTCTCTGATACTCTCAAATGACAGTTAAAATGGTGGTAGATTAACATCCTTTCTGAAGTTTTAGAGATGCCCGAAACATCATTGCCTCTACTTTGTTGAGCACAAAAGCGGCCTCTCATTTTCCGGGAAGGGAATCCACCTCGACGTGGATGGCTAACGCTTGAGAGAAATTAATTTATGTTGTAAAGTAGTAATTTACATTGGCCATTTCAAATTCAAAACCGATTTCCTCCTTTTTTAGTGCCCCTTCATTCTTTATGATGTGGTTGAAATAATTGTACAAATTACACCGGAGGATTTCTAGCCTTGAAAACATCCGTCTACGTTCCGAGAGGAAGGTGATAATTTAAATCTGGCAGCAAATGCATTTGAGTGACCAAAGACGCAACTTCTCAATTAAAGGGTAAATTAATTGCTAAGCATTTAAGAAGACGAATTGTCCGAGTTAACAGTGAAGTTTCTGGACACTTGATGGCCTAACCACCGTGGTGCGATTGCGTCGCCACGTTCTTACAACACAAAGGGTTTGTTAATTTCTGCAAAAAAGATAGGTGGGTGTCTTAATGGAATTTTTTAAAATAAAGTTGACAGCTGTCGTGGAAGGAAGGAATTAATTTGGGTGTCGTGAAGGACGGTGTCTGCAGCATCCACTCTACTTCGGGTGACTATGGTCTTTCCGTCCGCTGTTTATGGCACTTGCTTTAACATAATCAAACAACACCCAAATTACTTAAACTCATTTTAAATGTGCCAACAAGGTGAAAAAAATATTTCTCAAGGGAAAAAGTAGAGAAGGAATGGATCATGTCAATCCGTTCCGAACGAGGATGAGAGCGTTGATTTCATTTGAAAGGTAAAATGACAATCTTTCACAGTCGCCTTATTCGCTAATAGAAGTGACCTACACGAAACGGTTTCTCCGTGACAAGGACAAAATAGATTTATCATCACTGACAAAGGACAACTGACCATTTTACAATGATTCAAAATTAGTGAATGATCTTTATTTGCTGAGTTTAGTTTACCAGTACTGATTAGACTCTGACATGATAGTAGAAATGTAGTTTCTGGTTGCGTCCGCAACACCAGGTGCCCATGCTTTTCAATTCAGTAGCAGTTTCAGCTTCTCCTACCCAATGTCAAAACATGCCAGATCTTATCAATAGTAATGCTGGCGACCAGTTCTGTTGATTTTCAAATGGACGTTGAATGCGCTGCTAATCACCACGAGTGCAAGGAAATACAACTATAATACTAAAGACGCGCAAAGAAGAACCACCTCGTATCCAGCGATCAGCAAGTAGTCACGCAAGCGCACGCTGAAACCGAGTTTGGCATTACCTGCCACCAAGTCAAAACATCCTTATTTAGGTCACTGTCTCCAATTACTCTGGTTGAATGTTCAGCAAAATTTTAGAGTAGCACAGACATAAACACCACTTCGTGAAAACTAGTGATGCGGCAGTCTGGAACAGCAGAAATTTTAATGCACTCTGTTTTTATACATCCCCGCATCCGTTTGACCTGACTTGGCAGTCAAAATGGTAGATATACAAAGGTGTTTGAATGCGTAGGGTAGAAATGAACTGTTTCACCAATATTGTGAGGTAGTAAAATCACTTCAAGCCCTTTCTTCAGCGACACCAACTCCCAACATGGCTACTGAGACAGAGTAATTAGGCCACTTGATGACCAGAGTCATGCAAAGCACCGCTGTTCAAGCTCTGAGGCAATGTTATTTCCCTTCTGGACCATTTCGGTGGAAATAGGGAACCAGGTGTAGCAATTACGCGAAATACTGTTAGTGTGCATTAAGCCCTATGCGGCAATCACTCTTATTACACTTTTCAAGCTCAGATGCTCTAACTTGTTATTTCGCTGAGATGTGTAACTGAAAAGGCGAAGGAGGCAAAATAGTCAATTTGATATTTCTATGTACTACTGTGAGGTAATAATGAAGAGCGTGTGAGATGACTGACTGCAATGAATCGTGGTGGGTTCGGTCCGACCTCGACATCATCTCCCCAGGCAAGTTAACTAATTGTGGCCAAATGCTCTCAAAGATGCTGCAGCTGACAACATTTTGAGATTACCAGGTTCGAAATGCACCCGGAGCAGGAGAAATTGTTAACATATAAAAATGTTATTAATTTTTACGATGAAATGTGAAATTTAGTTCCTTTTTAACAAGTTTTACACCAGTAGCCCTTTCACAAATGGCCCTTTTTGAAAAGAGACTAATGGCGTCAATTCCTTATTTCACTTGGAGTGTCCAATTTATTTCGACTTTAGGCAGCCATTTACCACGGACTGCGGATTTGGCTAACCATTTTGGATTAATTAGGATCGAAGCTTCTCACACCATTAAAACCCTCAAGATATGGCTTTAGGCATTTGCTTAGCCAGTGCAAATATCCGACCTGGCAATCCAAACTAAGATAGCCCACCCTAGAGGAAGAAGGGAAAGCACATAGGGAGTTGCCTAGACTACTCAAATCTAGTGCGTATGGAGCTGTGGTATAAAAGCAGAGCATCTACGTGGCCTCTCTGCCAAAACCGAGAGCCCACCAGTCAACCAACTTATTACAGAAATATCCTTATTGCGAGAGTCCTCAGCATTTATTCACATTATGCCACACCTTTTAGGATGAGTTTCATGTGAGAAAACTTATTTTTACCTCTGTAGGGCTAAAGTCGTTCAAGTCAGGCCGGAACTTCAAATTATTCAGAAATGAGTAGTGACTAAAGTCCCATTTTACCACACGCGGTGGTAAGTGTCAGGTAAGTCCTGTTGATGCCCTTCAGGCTTAGCACAAGTCTCCACTCCAGACATCATTGACTTGAACGACACACAATAAGGGTTTTGAATGTGAGTTTGGGACAGTGTAAGGTGGTAAACAAAGTTTCTTTTAATTAATGCTTTACCCACTCGCAATCTACTATAGTACTCGTTTTTAAATCACAGACCACGGCGTTTATACCCAAAGGAAGAGAGACTATGAGACAGATTGTTATTAGTCCACGGCATTCAATTTCGCGAATTCTTCAGTCAAAAAAATTCTTTTGACGTATACAGTCTGCTCCACTCACTCACTTCTTCCTTCCTTAAAATACAATCATCCTTTCCTAGATGACATTTTACTAGCATCTAGATTGTTATTTTATTTTGCAAAAGTGCTAAATCTCCCGGGCATCTACGAAGGATGCTTTACGAAAAGTCGCCAAGCATTTAGGACTGGGCAAGCAAACCACTCGCCACCTTCACTGTTCTGCATACTTATATGTTAGCATTTGTAACTCAAATAGACTGGACTAAATTTACACATCAACATGGGGCAAAATAGGACAAAGTCTCGGGTTTTGAGGATAAATAAGTGTTTAACTTGGGGAACGTAATGCAGCGAAACAAGAACTGCTCTAGTGTTAATGACAGTGAAGTTGAGATTCAGAGCACGTAATCGGGGGAGGCATCTGTGATCAGCGTAGTAGTGCACCCACATTTGGACGTAACAAAATGGTCACTTGAATCTGAGCAGTCAATGAAGGACAGCTAGTGGTAGTGTACTTCAGCCAGAGATCGCACCACCTGCCTCATTCGAGAGTTGGGCTAATTCAGTAGTTTGTATTTTGAGGGTGAGTACAATCCAGACGAGTCACCGGTGCTTCACTTCCTCACCAATCCGGCTATTGGTCTACTCACATGGTATCCCCATTTACAGCAACGTGTTAATGACATCCTTCCCACTAATCAGATTTGTGTCTTTCTTTTCTTGAGGTACCGTTTTGTCAATTAGAATACAGGTGATAATTTATGCAAAATTCAAATAGTTGATTTAAATACGTTGCTAATTTTCAAATACAAGTACGTGAAGCCGTGATATGCACAAGTGATTTTGAAGCCATTACTTTGTTAACATGAGAAAGTGGAACATAAGTGTTGGAATTGTCAATATTACTCAAAGACGTACAAGATAGCCCTTTTTGCATAAAACTGATGGTAGAAAACAGTCCTTATCTGACAAGATCACCAAAACCAGGATTTACAAGTTAAGATGGAAATGGGATGCTGCACCATTCCCATCCTCACCCTGCACATTCGCCTAATTCAATGCCACTTTTCTGTAAGGCAGCGATTTGATCACAGAGGACAAAACGGTGCTGGAAAATGGAAGGCAAAATGGTCCTAAAAATGAAAAGAATGGAAAATTTTGGGAAACTTTTCAATGGCAATGGAACTTGTGTCTAGGGTCTGCGTCTACTAGGCAGTGGCAGGAATGTAGACAATAGATAGGGGAATGTTAATCGTAAAGTGGCTGAACTTTCTTACTCCCACTCTATTTGGGCTTTTTATTATGAGCTTTACTATCACAGTACATGTCTTTCTCAATATTTTAAATGGGTTTCGCGAATAGTGTATCTTTTTGAAGTGGATTCATAGGCGACTTGAGCTGCCCGCTGTTGTAGAGATTCTGGAGATGGTTGAAGGGAGAGTGTAACACGATACATCCGTGACAGTTTCATCAGTGTACCGTTGCCATCCCAAAAGCGCATTATTCGCGTCAGATAATGCAAATTCCTGTGGGTCTCTCGATGCCAATCAGCACTTCTACGAATGATGAACGACTCATAAATAAAACAGGTAGAAAATAAAGACAAAAAAAATTTGGAGAAAGGAGAGTTTTCCAAATGAAAGCATTCATTTGCAGTTATTTCGACAGTTCACTTAAGGTTAATGTAAAGCTTTCCATTTCATTTACACAAAAATCCTCAAGAGCCGAATCTGATATTCTGGAACTTTATAACCAACTTAGGTTAAAATTAGATTTCGTCGCGTAAGCAATTAACTTCAAAGAATACCAAAGAGATAGAAAGAACAAAAAAATAGTCGAGAATATCTTACAAATTCTAACTAGAATTATAAGAGGAAAGCTATAGGAGTTGTTTACGGCTTCTAAATGGCTGGCACGGAGGCCGGGCCGCTCAGCGAAGGTACAACAACGGAGTTCTTACGCCGTCCCTCTATAGAAGCACACATTTTTCCATAAATCCACAGCATTTAATCACACTTTCATGACACCTCTTAAGATAAGTTTGATGGGAAACAAATTATTTTTACGATCTTAGTGCAAAAGTTGTTCAAGTCAAGCTGAAACTTCAAATTTTGCAGGAACCAAAAAAGTTGAGCTACACGATACGCAGTAATGAGAGAATGTTTGCTTGGATAGAGTATGGCATCCTTTTTTGGAACAATGACACGCTGATTACTTTTAATGTACTGAAGAAGTTTTGGACATGTTCTTTAAAAACCGTGATCAGCAAAAATTCAGGTAGCTCTTTTTTCCCTGCACAGGAATACTGTGGAGGAGGGAGATAGTGTAACAACACAGGGCGAACGTGTTGGCTATATTTGGAGAGCAAAGAATAATAAACACGAGAACATGATGGATGGTTTCCGCCTGCTCTTTGCATTCCTGATTATGAATGGTCTACGGGTGATGGCGTCTAATACACAGGGAAGGATGTTAAAACCTCCACTAGATTTCGTCCAAAGGAGATAGATGAAGGAGTATTCGACTTTGACATGTGTCTAGTCCCTTAAACAGAGGAAGGTAGGATTTCAAGCATATAATATTAAATACACTAATGCCGCCCTTCTCTCTATTAAGGCAATACTAACAACTGCTACAACTACGCTCTAATCCTTCTTCGTGTGGTTCTTCCAACCACCTTTTGACTTATCATGACAAACGCAAAAGGCGACGTAGTCTTGTGTAGTTCCCCTTCAAGAGGGATTATTAGTAGGCACCAAAAATCAGTTTGCAATGAATTGTCTACCTAACGTGGCATTGTCGTCTGCACCTTGCTGCGACGGCTTCTTATAGATTGTAGGAATGCTGAAATGTGTGCAGTTGTTTCTGTTGTCTTATGAAGAATGGGGGTGCCTCACCCATCAATGCGGGTCCCAGTTTTCTCCTCGCCACCACTCTTCCATCATTAAAAGGGCACATGTCCATGAAGCTGACCAGATCTGCTGCATGCGATCCAATTGGTGGTCTTTTACTATGGCAGAACTCGTTGGTCGAATTTGTTGCATAGCCATCGGCGATGGAATAGTGAAATGCAATACACAGGTATCGTTCAACAATTGTGATTTTGGCGTAAACCTACAAAGGCTTTGCTCCAAAAACAGCTGTAAAAAGTGAGCTATCTCCTTTGCATTCTTTGATTTTGTGAACCACTCCATATAGGAAGGTGAACTTCCTGCTCCCGCTCAGTGAGTAGTTTCCACTTTACGGCAATTTCGAGTCGCCTCCTCATCCTCAAAAATGTAGTGTTGTGCAACTATTAGTAGCTAATCTTTGTAATGAGGGCCATCTTTGCATTTTGTAGGCCTCTAAGGGTTCATTGCGAGTGCTAAAATCTATCAGGAAATTAGAAACTTGCCGACAGTGCTTTCCATTCAGTGCACTGAAAGTAGGAGAGCCAATTTTCTGGCCAGCGGCAGACTTGATAAAGAACTACCACTTGAGATCAGTATCCTACAGTCAATCTCCCTGTCTAACTGTTCATTCATCTATTTAATAAACAATCTTCCATTCTATTTCCTTCTACTAACGAATAACCAAATGAATCCACTTCAAAGGCATCCATCCAGTCCGGATGTGCATGTGGGCTCGGATCCAGTCGAATTGTCTAGCTGTAACTGCAAGAGGGAATAGAAACACGCCTCTGCTAGCTGGGTGCTGAGGAGAGTTGGTAATCTTTTTCTACTTATCTAAGGTATTTTTACCAGCATTGAGGTCGTGGTTGTTATAAGGGCATATAAAGTCACTTTGTACTTGGTGCTGACCAATCAAAGGAAATTGAATACGAGTGCGAGTTTCGAAACATCCCAAATTTGTTGAGAGATAGGTGTAATGAAAAAAATATCTGGAGAACAGGAGCAGGAGCGTATTCTGAGGCTAAGAATCTCCACTACTATTTTACCAATTTATTCATTCATTCAACTACTAGAAACGAAGGCAATAAAGTGTTTAATTGTGTCAACAGTCGTGGGTACACTCAGTCATTGTTTACAATTAACGAAATTAGCTTCCCCAAATTTCTCTAGCGGTCCTTTCATTTACCCATTTATAAATCCCAGCTCCTTTAATCCATCCACTCACACCGAATTCAGTGGCATGTTCCACAGCCTATCTCCTTCCATCCGTCTAACCTTTCCATTAACCAGCCACTCACCTATCTATCATGTCTTTTCTGCAGATTACTAGCTTGGAAATTACATATAGAATAAGGTTGCATTATCCAAGTCTTAAGTTGCAAAAATAAATGGTGCGGTCGATTCAATATTAGTAGGGATTTAGTAATTTTTCCTTCCCTTCACACCACCCAACTTCATAAGCCAGATCAGTGGATGGAAGAAGAGTGGGCTTTCGAGATGGCCATGTCTACATGTGCTTAGCTTTCACCACTACTTTCCTTTCCCATTCGATGTAGATACAGGCCGATTGTTCTCTTACGACAAAATAAGCCGCTAGCCTTTGCCAAAAGATAAAAGGGGATTAGTGTCAAATCATTGGTCAGTTCTA